TAGTCTGTATACAAACATCTTTTCCCTGTAGTCTTATCTTAGGCACTTCACTTTCTATGTGAAGAGTACTTCTCCATTTGGGAGGAATAGCATTAAATAGGGCATTGTATTGAAACAATAAACATGGATAATCTCCAACAATATTTTTCAGCTCCCTTAATGCCATAAAGTGTCCTTGTTTATCTACAATATCATTAATGTACATAATATCTTTTTGACCCAACTACTGAAATATAACATTTTACCTTTATATGTGATACAGTTGTTGTTCCAAAGAGGTTGCCATGGTACATTTTCATCAGTTATAGCATCTATCAATTCGGGTGCCTTTAAATCATACCAGATTTGTATCAATTTCTGGTAGAAAACAGGTAAGGATTGCATACAGTAGCTAGGTTGAATATGCTGAACACTGCAGTTACATCTAAAGATAAAAAGGTTAGAACCAAATCTATGTAAGTAACTTAACTGAATCTTCTTCCAAGTAGGTAAGTATGCACTACATTGGTATGATAGCTTTTTTATCCATTTCAAACTCTAGGATAACTATGATACTTAATTCCATTTCATATCTGTTTTATCCTCTAAAGTTTTAAACTACAAAAAGTTAAATTAAGATCCCTTGGGAGTCAAGATTTGCATATTTTCACAGGCAGAATGTGGTAGCTGTTTCAAATTGCCTGTTTCCTTCAGGCTCTTATGATGGCGAAGTCAAACCAAGAAATTCTTTATAATCACATACGTATATTCAGTATAAATGAATAGTGAAGTTAGTTATATCATGGAGGTAGAAAAACAAGTACATTTTCTTTCTTGTCTGTATGTCACACTCACTCACAGGGCCCTGGCAACGTGTAACACTCACCTTGTCCAGCCACAGTTGCGGCAGTGCGGACTGAGGATGGCGGCCGATGGCCCCGTTTTTGCCGCCGTGTTATTATCCAGAGTCCGTGGCTGTTCCAACCTTGCGACCTTTTGCCTTTCCTAACTACAACGTACTTGTCACCACGCAACTGTCCTTCAACACTCTCTATACATCCTGATACTACGTAGTTGTACGCTTCCAGACTCTTAGAGGGCTTGAACCGATCCTGTATGTAAAAACTTCTGCCAAGTACTAAATACGAAGCTAAGTCAATGAGCTACGCTGGCGGTAGGCGCCGTCTCAATCAAACCGCACATGACTCAGCAGAAACGGGTCAATCCCAACAGATTTTATTTGTTCCGGTAACGAGAGGTATGAGTGGTGGTAAACTCTTCGTGTAATTTGACAAAGGACAGTTTACCTAACGTTTGTCGGTCATTTCAACGCTTGGAAACTCACTGTAGAGATGCCCCCCAAAATGGCGTCGCACGGGACATGGGGGGGGGTGATGACGTCATGATGACGTGTGGTGAATAAGCTCTATAGTATAACTGTGTGAGGGAAAGTTTCGTTTGAAAACTGGTCAGGTGACCACCTCATCCCAATGTGACTTTTGACTTTTCCTTAGGTCATTTAAAATTTCACCAGAAAGGCAAAAGAGACCTCATGTATCTAGTATCTAACTACAGTATGTCACCACTACAGTTACCCTGGAGGCTGGTAGCACACTGGACACAAAGTATCCATGGATACTTCGTGGCCAGTCAGATACTTTGTGTCCAGTGTGCTAATTTTGGCACCCAGGCTAGGAGGCTGGATGCTTTGGGCCCAGTAATTTGCTATGGGTCTAACATCAAGGCTAGCCATCCTCCATAGTTTCTGCTGGCTCACTAATGTGTCCGGAGCCGGCAGAAACTGCGGATGATGGGACACAGGTGGAGTGGGTCGAACCTCCAAGAGCAGGACTAACCCTTGCATCCTTACTTACTAGTACACAAGTTTGACTATCTTAAAAGAATTTATCAAGTAGTACTTAGTCTACATGTTTAGAAGTACTACTCTACTCTAGAAGGGGCCACTGTTTCGAAATTTTGAGGGGGGGGGGGGCAAAAATCCATTGAAATTTGCTGCCTTGTAACTTGTGACTACATGGATGGGTTAAATTACACAGAAAGTCTTCTTGGTGTGTTTAGAAAAAAGAGGGGGGGTATAGCCCTGTATGAAAACCCTGTGGATAGATCTAACCAGAGATTATGCACACAGACTGTTACATGTTCACAGGACAGGATGTGTTTGTCACCTCATGCATGGAACTAATTAAGTTGCAACACAAAAATTTCACGGTAGCTAACCCAAGGGGTACCCAATATGATCTGTATAGCACACTCCTGAAGACACCACCAAGCATCACCAAGCACAAGGCACCAAGCACACAAGGCACCATTATCAGACAAGTTGAACTGAACAAATAGTGTACTGAAAAAAGTATTTTGACCATTGCACTGTTATGAAAATGTTCACCCAAATTTGGTTTCACAAATGTATCTACCAAACCACTGCTGTTCTCCATTCCTGTGTACTGGATTAATTATTATCAACCAGGATGTCAGTGGGAGATTTCATGGTAGATCAGTTACACTGACTTGTATGTGACCTCTTCATTGACATACTGAAATCTCCAGCCAACACTGACTGATGGAATGGGTCAAGTGACCACGTCCCTAAGACTAATTATAAGAGATTCAAGAAGTAACATCCTAAGGTGACTGCTTGGTCCCTTGAATTAACCTAAAGCAAAAGAGACTGATGTCTTTCATGGTAATTCTGTTTGTGGGAAATGATAACAAGCCTTTCAAGCAGGTTATATTATTATCTGTGCCTAGTAATAAATAAAAAAAATTCTTTTTTTTATTTATCACAATGTGAAAGGGAGGGCAAAACAGTGATAATGTTCGATAAGAAGAAGATTACGTTCCATTATTGATATTCCGACCCGTATGACATGGGGTTATAATATTATCACTCAGGCTTCCAAAAGTACTGTAGAATAATAGTAACATGTTCCACGTGCACCACATGCACTGTTTTAGAAAGCTTGAATAATGGATTTGGACATTGTAATAAAATTCTTTTTTTAAGGACATCAAATCTGTTAAATTTTTGACACATTTCACACTGAGATGTGTATTTTATAGGATAGTTATGAGTACTTGCAATGTCAAAAATAAAATACAACGGTATTTCGTATCACCCTCTGTCCTAGCCCTGACTGGCGGGTCTGGCTGAATTCTCAGGTAATACAGAATTATGAAATACACCACATTCTAATTTCTATACTTACAAGTTGCCCTTTTACACATAGCCTGGGTTCCAGACCCATAGCACACTGGACACAAATATCTCAGTGAGCCTGGCTCATAGCATATATGATGACTTGGACATAGCATATATGACTGGACACAAATATCTCAGTGAGCCTGGCTCATAGCATATATGATGACTTGGACATAGCATATATGACTGGACACAAATATCTCAGTGAGCCTGGCTCACTGAGATATTTGTGTCCAGTGTGCTATGGGTCTGGAACCCAGGCTATTTTACACACCAAAGATAATTTTTTTTTTTTTAAGAATGAAGCGACAGGGCGGGGAAAAAAACAGGCTTCAGAATGCATCCTGTGGTAGAATATTAGCCATGAACTTGAAGTCATCATACTAATGGTTCATAATTCAATCAATGAATTTTGAACTTTTAATTAAACTACAGTTGGCACTGATGGGGGTGTGACCTAGAAATTACGAAAGCCCACAACAAAACACTTAGCTGCTAGGCCTACCAGACCCTTGCACATTGAGATATTTTGTGTCCAGTGTGCTTTGGGTCTGGCATCCAGGCTATACTGTAATTTACATTTTGATCAGAATTTTCCAAGTGGTCACCAGTACGATGGCTCAGATATACAGGAAAAGGAATCCTCCTGAGAGGAATACACATGTAACATCCAAAACAAAGACAATTCCTTCTATCATCCTCTGAGGTCAGGACAGAATTCCATGGTCTACCAGACTCTACCTCATGATTTTGTACTTCTGCTACACCATGTATACATTTTCTCATCTTTCATAGCCTGGGTGCCAGACCCATAGCACACTGGACACAAAGTATCTCACACTGACTTCACTATCCGTGTTTAGATTATTCTGCTGTCGGTTTTGTGAGATACTTTGTGTCCAGTGTGCTATGTGTCCAGTGTAAGTGCAGAGATACTTTGTGTCCAGTTGTCACGGTCATCATATATGCTATGTCCAAGTCATCATATATGCTATGGGTCTGGCACCCAGGCTAATCTTTCACACTATAGAGAAGTTATTATCCCCCACCTGTATGCTTTGTGGTACAAGAATAACAAAAGTAAGGAATAGTATTTAAGGCAATTTCAAGACCTAATGCTATCAGACTGACAAACATTTGATATTAGCCTAACCTCTATTTCATAAGGGACCAATCCTTCTGTCATAATCCTTTAGACAACTCCTTTATGAATGAATGAATGAATGAATGAATGAATGAATGAATGAATGAATGAATGAATGAATGAATGAATGAATGAATGAATGAATGAATGAATGAATGAATGAATGAATGAATGAATGAATGATTACACTTAAAGGAGAGAGACTGAGACCTGCATTTGGCCGAATTCAGAGCTTTTAATCGATGTAAAGGAGAAAAAGACCTCTGAGCGCCAGGGTCGAGAGAGCGAGACGGCCAAAGCAGGAAGGTATGAGGAGAGGAGAGGAACCGCCCACCCAACACATGGGAACTAAACAACTAGTGCTATAAACTAACTAACAAACTAGCCAACTTGCTAACTAACTAGTGGATGAAGTGCTCGGAGTTACATACAGGATATTGCTGGAAAATCTGACATAAGCAAGTGGAGCTTAACGGTTTGAGGCAACAACTAGATAAACGAGGAAACATACCAGGCTGTAATACATCTGGGTCTACGCGTGCAACATTAGAAGAACAAGGGTTGTAACTAAGATAAAGGGGGAAACTAGGAAAGGAAAGAACAAACGTCTCTATGTCTCAAGATCTACATTTCCTGAATATTGAAATCGAACATAGTTACAGAAGGAAAAGTCGGCTCCGTAGCGTTAAGGAGCTCGGCCCGTTAACATCAGTTACATAATAACAGTGAACATGTGCCAAGAGTCCTCATTCATAGAGAGTTCATGTGCTCGTATGTCGGAGGATGTAGTCCCTCAGAGCAGATGGTAGCTTCAGGCGATCGCGGATGTTGGCCGTCAGGTAGAGATGGTCTGCATCTGATTTCCAGTCCCCGTGGAGCTGACGTAGCTCTCTCGGAACGCCCGCCTGGAAGGCGAGGGTGTACCCACCCCTGCGCAGATCGTGGAGGGTGACCGCACCCTTGGGGAGGGCCAGGGCCTTGATAGCCTTGGCTAGAGCCTTCTCCAGGATGGAGGTGGTCAGCGGGCGAGCAGTGTTTGTCGAACTTGGCAGGACGAAGGCTGGTGAATCAGGAGACGCGGGGATTAAGGTGCACGTGTGTTGATATGCAGAGACTGGGCATAGGACGGAGTCTGGTATTGGGACCAAGGGAATTTGTAGAACACGTTCACGGTGCTGCAGAGTCTTGGACCACTTGGTATAGACTAGTAGACCAGAGGGGGACGTCAGTACGTCCTTGCGTTGGAGATGACGTTTCGGATCGAACGACGTCTTGGAGTCGAGGACGACGTTGGAGCGGCGGAAGAAGGTGAAGAAGCAGAAGAGCAGAGCAGCCCAGACTGCGGCATCTTTTTGGGTGTCATGATTGAAACAGCCATGCAGACGCGTCAGTAAGGCCACGTCCACCAAGGTATGCTGACGCGGGCGGTGTTGTAACTTCTTCCGGAGTCCTTTCATTTGTGTGTGTGATTTCGAAATGCTGGAGAGTGTAGTCGGTGAATCCGTTCATGCGGTGAAGTAGTTTGACGGTAGACATGTAGTGTGAGATTGAGTCAGGCGAACGGAGTGTGCGGGAGAGAAACTGTGCGTAACACGCAATTTGGTGCGCGGAAGCGGGCATGGGAGTGAGGTGGAAATACTTGCAGAAATCCAGGTAGGTGTTGACGTGGGTCTGATGGTTGCGAGCGGTGCTGATGTTGAAAACCGCAGCCTGGGTCGCTCTCGTGTCTATCTCGAGAAGGTGCCACTGTAGTCGTGCGCCTGGGGGAAACACAAATTACCAGACATGAGTAAATTTGAACATCTCGTCCAGCACCTCGTCTTCTACACATTCTGCGATCGGTACGGCGGCGCTGAACCTTCGTGCATAAGATGGGTGCAGGTGCCACCTACTCAACCAGTCAGGGATAGTGTTCTGGTCGCCTGGTATATGTTGTGCTGCCAGCTGAAAGTCGTAGATTGCTTGTAGGTACACCAACTCCCGCGCACACTCCTGGAAGAATGGATCTGAAGCACGGCCAGAGTTAATGACGTGTACGGAAGCCTCATTGTCGCAGGCAAGCATCAGTCTCTTGCCCGCCCACGCGGAAGCCCACAGTTTGCACGAGACAATCACCGTTAGCAGCTCGAGACAATGAATAGGTAGATCTTGTTGGGTGATACACGGGGGAAACTG